AAAATAAAACGGGAAACATAACGAGACCCAGACATGACTCGAACTAGACAAACAAAGAAAACTTGGACATGAAACATGACAGATAAACACACGAAGACTTAACACAGAAAACTTCACACAGAGATGAGACCAATGGGGAGCTCGATAAATCATGAATTAAAACTGTAACCTAGGCATGACAGAATGTAACTAGATAAACTGAAATGAAACTAGACTGAAAGGAATAACAAAAACATCAAGAAACTCAGAATACTGGGTTACATGACCCAGGACCATGACAGTTTGTGGCAGCCAGGTGAGCTAAAGCTGCTGTTCATCACTATCCTACCTGTCCAAATGGCCCTGAGAGTATTTTGGTGATGAGTTTTGGTTATTGTAATGTTAAACTACATTGCCGCCTGGAATGCTGAATAAATCACCAGATGTGTCACCAGTAAAGGGCTATTTGCTGTACAATAACACTACCTAAGCAGAACATGAACACAGAAACGTTAAGAAGCCTAAACTTCCAGGAGTTACTGTTAGCTTATCTGTCTAATGGTAGTTCCGTAAGATAGCTTACCTGTTAACTGAAAACTATTATGTGATAACCTGATGTAACTGGTAAACATAAGGCCAGCTAGGGCTAAACTGTCATCAAAGCTAACAGTGGCCACTTTGAAAAACAGCAACTGATCAAAAATATAATGCACGTTTTTACTTTCAGTATTTGGTTTGACTCTTTGTGCAGCAAAAGTTACAACTAAATTTTTCCAAGAACCGCAGTGTGGCCCGGCAGCTTGGAGGAAATTTAAATGTGTTAAATGTGTTCTGAATTCTGTGTTCAGAACACATTTAACTCCAGGATGGTGTTTGGTGGCATTCTTCACATGTCTGCTCTGCAGCTGAAATCAACAACACTTACAGATTTTCTGAGTGGGATGGTTTAGTATTGAAATGGCATCATTGTGTTATTACAGTTCTACAATATCAACAATTTCCATGGACTGTACATATTCTCACAAAGAGATATAACAGTACAATCCCGACGTATGAATCTTGATTTTAAATAGTTTGTTGTTTTTCCCTCAAAACTGCTGATTTCATTTCATTTCACAATCAGTCCTGATCAATAATACAACCTCTACTGCCAGTATGTAGTCACAACGTAGCTATGAGATGTTTACCACAGAAGAACATGTTGGGTACTACAACAAAAAATGACAAACAAGCAAAGCCAAAGACCTTTACAGAAGTCAAAATCTCTTAAAAGTATATGAAACTGAGGCCAAGTGCAAACTCTGGAGTAAAAGCTAGCATGTTGCAAGTCTA